CATCTTTACTTCCCAAGAGCACTCTGGCTGCACCTTCTCCCAGACATATTTGTCTGTTCTTTTGACATCCCATGGGATGTTGAGTACTCTTCTCCAACACCACAGCTCAAAGGCATCAATTCTTTTTCAGTCATCCTTATTCATTGTCCAGCTCTCGGATGTATAGCCAATGAGTGAAAAGCTCATGGCCTGAATTAGATATACCTTAGTCCTCAAAATGACATCATTACTCCTCAATAATTTGGTGCCGTCCCTAACTGTTGACTTTCCCAGTGAAATACTTCTCCTGATTTCCTGACTGCTGGTACCAAGGATATTAATTGTAGATCCAAGTAAGTTGAAGTTGTTGACAGTTTCAATCTTTTCTCCATCAATCATGGTGTTGCCTATTGGTCCAGTGGTAAGAATTTTTGTTCTCTTGACACTGAGATGCAATCCATATTGAAGGCTACATTCCTTGATCTTCTGCAACAAGTGCTTCAAGTCCTTCTCATTTTTAGCAAGCAAGGTCGTGTCATCTGTGTATCACAGGTTGTAAATGAGTCTCCCTCTAATCCTGATGCCACACGCTTCTTCATAAAGTCCAGCTTCTTGAATAGTTTGCTCATCATACAGATTGAAGCAGTATGGAGAGAGAATATGACTGACACACTCCCTTTTAAATTTTAAACCATGTAGTGTTCCCTTTCTCTGTTTGCACAACAGCCTCCTGGTCTACCTAGGTATAGGTTTTGCATGAGCACAATTAAGTGCTCTGGGGTTCCCATTTTTCTCAATGTCAGCCACAGCGTGTTACGATCCACACAGTTAAATCTTTGCATAGTCAATAAAGCATAAATAGACATTCTTCTGATATTCTCTATTTTCTGCTAGGATCCTGCTGACACCAGCAATGATGTCCCAGCCTCTAAATTTTGCTTGAACTTCTGGAAGTTCTGTATCTATGGACTGTTGTAGCTCTTTCTGATTGAACTTCAGCAGACTGCAAGACCTAGGGAGGATGAGGTGATTTAATCCCATGGGCACGGCAGGACGATGCTCTAATCTACTGGGGTTTGGGACTGTGTAGTCAGGGCTGACCTGAGGCTGCTAAGCAACGCAGCAGGAGGAGAGCTCTCTGGCCACCTGCCCTCACAGCAGGACACGCACAGCACACTCAGAGAGGTGGCTTCACCTGTGGTGGTGGCGGTCTTCCCACGTGAGCATTTCATAATCTCTTTGGAAGAGAAAAGAAATCCCAGATAGATCTATGTTTCAGACAACCAAGGTGTGTTCCTGCTCGCTGGCCCACCTCCACACGGGGCACTGTCAGTGTGGTGCCCACACAGGCTGCCCGAATGACCCCTCGAGCAGATGCCACAGACACGAGGCCTCCCCTGGAGCCACTCCATCCACTCAGAACATAAGTCACGTGCGTAGTAACGTGTGGAGGAAGTGTCCTGAACGACTTGCTTGCCAGCAATGGAGAGACAGCGACCGCCACTGCCGGCTCTGTCAGAGACCGATGCTGACCCTGGATGGAGAGTCTCTCTCTCTCTGGCAAAAGGACACCATAACTCAGGGGCAGCTGCACTCTGGGTCCACACACATGAGGGCATCGCTTTGTCTCGCTTTCCCAGAGGTTCACTTTCCTGGGCTTCTGGAAAGAATGGACCCGGGCAGACCTCCTCCCTGGTGGCTGCTTGCCAAGTGAGCCCCTGTGCACCAGGGGCAGCGTGTTGTTCTGGTGCACCCCTTCCTCCTCTCCCGGGGCTCTGAGGGGTCATGAGGAACTGGCTACAGCCCCAGGATCAGCACTGCGGAAGCTCATGGCCCTGAGGTGCTTCATGCCGTGTGACCTCTGTGGTTCGCAGGCCTGCCCGCCCCAGCCAGCTCAGGTGAGGAGCTGGCATCCGGCACTAAGGTCCACCTGGAGGGTTCCCTCAGAGCCAGGTGTTGGCTGGGACAGGGTCTTCCTAAGAGAGGTGGCAGCCTGAAAATCACAGGTGCCCCGCTCAATCCAGAGGTCATTTCCAAGGGTCTGTGTGGTGGTCAGCTGGGTTCACAGAGGGGCCAGCAGTCAAGCAGGTTCCCGTCCAGGTGTAGGGATGACCCCGAGGACCTCGTGGGCTTGATTATCAAGCAAAGCTGTGGCTGGGCAGCCTGCGCTCCATGCTGTGTGGCACAAGCACCTTCTACACTCACCATGGACTTGAGAGGAAGAGACCAGGTTAACACCAAGCCTGAAGCCAGCAGCTAGGGCCCCACAAAGTTTACCGAACGCCCCAGACAGTGCTAAAATTGGAATGATACAGAGATTAGCACAGTCCCTGCACAAAGGTGACACAAATTTGTGAAGCGTCCATATTTTTAGCAAATGTTCCAGAGACAAGGAGTCAGGAGAAACATACTGATGAGGAGGAACTTTGCACAAATATGGAAGAAAATGGAAAAAAATGGAAGAAAGAATTTAAATTATAGATAAAAAGGTCAAGAACTTAAAAAAATCATCACGAGATAGAGATGGTACTGCCAACAAGATAGAGATGGTACTACAAACACAATACTGGAAATAACAGAAAGCCATAAAAACGCAATCCAGTCTAGACAATGACTAGGGAGGATAGAAGGAGAATTGATGCCTCTGAGCTGTGTTGCTGGAGAAGAGTATTGAACATACCATGGACTGAATATACCATGGACTGCTAGGAGAACAAATGGGTTTGTCCTAGAGAGGTTGGTACCAGGACGATCTTTGGAGACAAGGATTCTGAGGCTTCGTCTGACATACTTTGGACATGCTGCAAGGCGGGACCAGTCCTTGGAGGGGGACATCATGCTTGGGAGTGTGGCAGGACAGCACAAGAGAGAAAGACCCTTGATGAGATGGACTGATTCAGTGACTGGGGTAATGGGGGTAGGAGTGGCACAGGATAGAGCAGGGTTCAGAGCTGTTGTACACAGGGTCGCTGTGAGTCACAAGCAACTTGACAGCACGTAACAACAAGGCTTACAGTGAGTAAAATGTCAGGGTCTCAGTTTAAAGAGTGGCCATTCAAATCTGCCAGCTGACCCAAGAGAAAACAATGAGAATCTTCCCCACCCGCCACAAAGATTTGCAGCCCAGAAGGGTGTTTGAGGTGAATGAAGCACCCTGGAGACTGTGAGGCTGGCTCAGCCACTACTGTATGTGGTCACTATGAGTTGGAATTGACTGACCACACCTAACAGCTGGATCCGCCCCACCTGCAGGGACCCTGTTTGCACGGTTCTCTCCAAGACCTCGGAGAAGGATGACTCTGAAGACCCCGGGTGAGACCAGTGGGACCCCGGGCAAGCACTGTCACCCTGATGGGGCCTGGCTATCTGCACCTTTCCTCCAGGGCCTGCAGCCTCCAGCCCAGAAACGAAACAGCAAAGCAGTCACCAACTCCAAAACAGCAAAGCAGTCACCAACTCCAGGGTCACTTCATGTAAAACATCCACATTTGCTTCTGAGTTCGTTTTCAATTATGAAAGCCATTTGGATGATTAGAGCCAAATTAATGTGTAAATGTCGTGTAAATGCCAAGTGCTGAGAAACAAAGGCTGGTCCCAGAGGAGGAGGAGAGAAGATTGAAGCTGGGAGATTTCGGCCGGAGTCCCAGGTTCCCTCCACACGGCGAGCCCTTCTCACCGCAAAACCTCCAGACAGCGGCCCGCTGCCTCCTCCTGGGGCTCAGGAAGATGTTTTCTGTAAGACGTTGTTGTGGACACATGCTGCGTGTGCCCGTGGGTTGTGCGGTGTGTATATTAATACACACACACACACGTTGTGAGGTGCACTTTTCAGTTCTGATGGCCGTGAGCTCACACAGGACAGACAGAAACCCTGCCCAGTGCTACCTTGTGTTCAGAAGATGCCCCAGCTGTGTCCCCCATGCTGGGGGGACAGTCACCCACACCTAACACTGCCCCCTACACTCAGCTGTTACCTGATGGGCGAGAGGTGATTCCAGCCCTTGGAAGGAGGGGCTGGCATCTCGTTCTGGAGCGTCAGCCATTGGCAAGCTCTCAGGGCACAGTGCTACATGGACACACAGGGGAGCCACAGGGGAGCCGCAGCGGGCAGGACGGTTTCCTTTGTTTAATGAGTGGGCAAGTGGCAGCAAGGGGGAAGGTTCACCACAGGGGTCATGGGGGAAGGGCCAGGACCATGACAGCAGTGACAGGTGACTCTGAGTGAGAGCTTCTCCTTGAGAGAGAGCCTCCCACAGCTACTGTGGGGGACCTGCTGCCCCCTGTTCAGAGGGGCCCACATCAGCATCGGGCAATCCAGGGCAAGGTTAGGGCTTCACCCCAGATCCACCGAATCCTGTGATCTTACAGGGGACAGAGGACCCCCACCTGCCCTTTGACACCCACACTCTCTACAGCACCCAGTCTGGCCATGTCTGACAACCTGCCCACTGCACACACACTCCACTGTCCACACCCTGGCCATGTGTGTCCACCCACCCTCTGACACCCACACACCCCACAGCACCCACCTGGCCATGTCTGCCCACCTGCCCCACTGCACACACACACTCTGATGTCCCCACCCTGGCCAAGCCTGACCATTCCATCTGCACTGTTCACCCCACTGTTTCAACCCTAAGCTAAGCTGGCTGTACCCACTCACCCTCGTGTGTCTACCCCAGCCTTGCTTATACCCACCTGCCCATGTACCCACCACATCCTTACCCACTCACAACTTCTGCAGGGATGAACATAGGGCCCCTGGGGACAAAAGGCAGGGGGCAGGGAGAACTGACCACACGTTCAAACTGCCCTGAGACACTGGACACCTGCTTAGGCAGAATCTTGGACAGCTACTTAGACAGAACAGACATGTCTATGTGTCCCACGTCCACCACTATCTGCTTAGTGGCTCAAAGTGTCCTTTCCTCAAAACCAATCGCCCCAGTGGCGAGGTAAGGTGTCCTCCTGCCCCTGGCCATCCACCACCCAACACAGGCTGAGAAAGACAGACCACCTACCGGTTCCTCTTGGCTTTCACGCTCTGGTCCTCGTCTCCATCTTCTGAGCTGGACCCCTCACTGTGGTCAGCTGAAAGAGAGGCCCGAGAGAGCAGCTGGGTATGGGCACAGGTCACTTCGGAAGTCACGGTGAGGGTCTCGCTCTCAAGCAGACTGGGTGGGAGTCAAGGACGCAGACATCAAGCCCAGCCCACATACTGAGGGCACACACACACCCTGGGGGTTCAGAGGTGACATCGGACCTTACTTGTCTGCAGAGACCACAAGCCACTTCTCACCAATAGGTAGGTGGCCTGAGAGGGACTGAGGAGGAAGAAGCGAAGATGGCTGTCTGCCTGAACCCTCCTTCCCCTGCCCATGAGTCTTTCTGGCTTTGGCTCAAGCAGCTAAGAGCTTGCCAGCTCACTAAAAGGTTGGAGGCTCAAACCCACACAGAGAAGCTTTGCCAGAAAGGTCATCTAGAAAAAGGCAGGAAACACGTTCTTGGGCACAAGTGGGGTCACCCTGAGTCGGGGTCACCTGATGGCAACCCAACACCGATGCTCACACTCTGCGGCCTGACCCCCACCTACACAGGCTCTAGAGGACAAGCTGACCATCAACAGCACTTCTTGCTGGTCCTGTCATCTGCTTGCCCTTGACCCCCTCATGGGATCTCCAGGTGTCTCGGGCACATGGTCCACGCTGCCCTCCGGAACTCAGACCTGACCCAGAGCCCAGGCTGGTTTGGGAGACTTGTTCTCACTGCCCCCAGGTGAGTCATGGGTGAGGAGCTCTGGAATTGAAGTGCTTGAAGAGGCTGTGGGGTTGGATCTGACGCCATCAACAACGAGGAAAGAGGGTGAGGAGGCCTCAAAGCGCATCGTTATTCTGTCCTGACAGGCTGGGATCCAGATCATTCCAGCCCCTCAGAGTCCTCCCTCCTGCCCCTCACGCTGCACCTGCCGCCTGGGAGCCTGCCCCCTTGTTATCCTGCCACCAGGTGGGCAGGGAGGGTGTGGACTCTACAGACCCATCCACCTGGGGCTCCCCCTCCCCATGTCCACATTGTCCAGAGGGGCTCTGCCCTGAGAACACAGACCATGAACTGGTGCTTCTGCAGGTAAAGTTGGAGAAAAATAGCGAGTCTCCCGTGGACTGTCAGAAAAACAAACAAATCTGACTTGGCAGAAGCACAGCCTGGTTGTTCCTTAGAGGACGGTCGCACATAGTCAGGACGTGCTGTCAGACGAGGCGAGTCCTTGGAGAAGGCCATCATGTGGGGAAGGTGGGGGTCAAAGAGAGGGAGACCCCCAACGAGATGATTGACACAGTGACTGTCGCACTGGGCTCGAGCATGGCGAGGGTGGGACGTGGGCATGAGCACAAAGCTCTGCTCGTTTGTTCATATAGCTGCTATGACATGGAGTGAAAGGGACTTTACAGAACCACCTCCCGGGACCTCCCCATGGCACCTATGTTGTCCTCCAAGCCAGGACCGAAGCAGCACACTTGAGCGTGATGCTCCCTAAATTCCTGCTCTGCCCCGCAGAGTCCCGAGGTCACCCCTACAGACACTCATCAAGTCACCCCCCTGCCAGTTCCAGCCCCACAGGGTCCTGAGGACACCCCTACGGACACACTCATCAAGTCACCCGCCTGCCAGTTCCAGCCCCACAGGGTCCTGAGGACACCCGTACGGACACTCCTCAAGTCACCCCCCTGCCAGCTCCAGCGTCCTACTCAGTCTGAGGCCACCTGGTCCTCCATGGCAGACTTGAGCCCTGAGTTCTCATCAGCTGCCCAGCCTGCGTCTGCAATCTGAGGGTCCAGTATCTCTCCCAGGGTACTCTGTGATAAGGTAGCAACACAGGCTGGTCTTAATGGTTTGTGGTCAGGGATTCAGTGGGAGGTGGTGGGAGTCAGAGACCTGAGGCAGGCAGACTCCACCTCAGGTAACTCAAAGGGCAACCCAGGGAAGAAGGCGCTCGCACACACAGACACAAACAGAGTTATTGTTGTCAAGTTCCTTCGAGTCAACTATGAGTCATTGTCACCCTGTAAACAGTAGATCTGAACCTTGTTCTATTGTGAGCTACACACGCGTGTGCACGCATACACACACACACGCACACCCCCCTCATTGCTGTGGGGTTAGAACTGACTCCCAGCCAGCCCACCAATGGCTTCCCAGAGGCTGTGAATTGAGAGAGGACCTTGTCCACCTTGGTCCTGAGTAGAATTACATCAGGAAGATTTAAAAGAAGCCCCTATTGGTTCTCTTGTTGACTTTGTTTGTTTGTTTGATTGATTCTCTTAGCGGGTAACATCTTCCTAATTGAGTAGAAGTACAGACACCACAAAGGAACTACTTCTACATCTGACAGTCTGTATAGAACCAATGAGCTTCATGACAATTAGGAAAAAACCAAACCAAACAAAAAGCTCCTAAGACTAGAAAAACAAAACTGTTACAACAAAATACATACATCCTTGATTTTTAAGAGGTCATATAATCCGACAAGAAGGACAGACACTTACACAGAAAAACAAAACAAAAACAACAGGGCTGTGAGGGCAGGAAAAGGTCTTCAGCTTCACCCAACACCCCACAAGGAAAGGTTTCAGACGGCTGACAGCTGATGAGTCTGAGAGCGCTTTAGAGGACCCTGGATTGGCCTCCAGGGAGCAGGACTTCGCAGTATCACTCAAATGTTGAAACACATGTCATCTGACCCAGCAAGTTCAAGAACAGGAATTTTCACAGCACACATACTCGTAAGAGCACCTGTAAGACACACACAGGAGGCAAGGATGCTCTTCATCAGCACCGCGTGTTAGCAAAGACAGATGACGGGGAACCTGAAATCAGGGTGTGTTCAGATGAGCAAGAGGGAGAAAGAGAAACTAAGAGAGACAGAGAGACGGAGGGAGGGAGGGAGAGAGGGAGAAAGAGAGAGAGAAGGAGGGAGAGAGAGAGAGAGAGAGAGGGAAGATGGAAGAGGAAGGGGGAGGAAGAGGGTGTACAAAGGAAAAGAGTGAGGACAGAAAGAGGAGACAAGAGTTAAAGGAGAGTGAGATGGGGGCAGGAGGGAAGGAGGAAGCGTGAGGGGAAAAGGAGGACAGACAATAGAGAGAAATCAAGGGGGAGGGAGAGAGAGCAAGGAGCTCACAGGTGGGGCATCGGTGGCAGCTGAGCTCACCGGCCACCTGTCCACTCCTCTCCCCAGGCCGCAGCTGTGTGTGCACTCAGCAGTCACACACCCCCCTGATGGTCATCATCAATCTGTGTTTGTCTCCAGCAGTGATAGCTGCACTGTGTACACAGTCATCAGAGCCCGGGTGGCTGGTTGGGGCCAAGGGGCTTAGAAGACAAGGCCGCCTTCTCCTGACCACTCCTGGCTCAGACCCTCCCCCCATGAACAGGGACACACAGACCTGCAGTGCTAAGATGCCACCCATCACTGTGAAGATGAGACCTGCTTTCAGCACCAGGTCCAGGGAGAGAGGAAGCAGGAGAACGGCTGACCATGGCCATGACTGTCCTCTCAGTTGCAGGCATGTCACCATCTGAGACCATCAGATGGGATGTTGTACTTCTATGTCCACTCCAGTCCAGCAGGCATTTAACTTCAACTAACAACACTGTTTTCAGAGCCAACAAAGCCCTACTGAGCTGAGACAATCGGAAGACACCCCAGACCTCCCCTGACCCCTCAGCGAGCTAACCAGGTCATCAACAGCTGAGTGATGACCACCTCGGCAGGGTGGCAGTCCTCCGTCCTGGACCCTAAGCTTCCCAACCCTGTGAGTTCCACTTCCAAGCCTCACACACATTACACACGGCCACCGAGGCTGAGCCGCAGTTCAGTGTGGGGCCAGCTTACAGAGGCTTCTCTCCATGCCTCTAGGAAAGTAATGAGCATCAACTGGAACGTGTCCTTGTTCCGTGTCCGCTGTGAACAAGTTCACCGGTCAAATCTACAAGGCCTCAGACCAATGGCACCATTCTCCACGGAGTGCAATCTCCCCGACCTGGCTCTCATTATAATTAGGGTCAAATCCTGTGCTGAGCCTTGATGAATGACCAGCCAAGAAAAATGCACGGCGGATGGCAGGAGGTCATCAGGTCTGGATCCTTGTTAATTAATGTCCCTGAGACACTCCCCGTCCCAACTCTGTGTGGCTGTTATCTCTGGGTAGACCCCAGGAAATGAGAAGATGCCACTTACATATCAATTCAGCCCTGACAACCGAGTGGGGCTCAAGATCACCTGCTCACCCTGCGGATAAGCCCTGGCCCACAGCAAGAACAAACCTGTGCCGGAGTAGGGGTCCCCAGAGCGCTCCTCACATGGGGGTGGGAGGCTTCGTCTGCAGGACCCTGGCATGCTATCGCCAGGAGGTGCCAGCTTCTGGAGAAGCATATGATGCTCATGAAGTCGATGGTCAGAGAGGGGGAGCCCCTCAACCAGACAGACTCGCACAGCAGACGCTGTGAAAGTGGTGCAAGGCCAGGAAGGGCCTGGTTCCGTGTTACACGGGGTGCTTGTGAGTTAGAGCGGAGGCAGGGCATCTGACAATCCCAAAGGAAGGAAAAAAGATAGAAAGAACTGGATTTAAGATGATTCTCTACCATTCTTTACAGGCAGAGGGAAGGTTAAATGGTGTGTAACTGTGTTTGCGTGCGGGGCCGGGCAGTTAGGGGCCCCACACTAAATTCTGAGGGAGACACACTGCCTCCATGTGCGGAGCCCAAACAAATCTCCTCTGGTTGTTTGTGTTCTTTAGATTTACAGCTCAATTCTTTCTCTATTTTAGTACCAAATGGGATTCCTGTTAGAGGAATGAGACAGTGCATTGCTCTACGACCAGAGAATTCCATCCCAGTCCTCCCACGAGCAGGGGACCAGGTGGGACCTGGAAGACACCTGCCACTCTTCTAAATTGTGCTGATGGAGCCCAAGCTACCCTCACTTAGAGAGTGTGAGAGCGGCTGGCTGAATGAGTTCTTGTCTTCTCATTTGTACTGACTCCTTGAAATGAAGCAAAGGAAGAAGTAGCTCCCAATTATGCCCAGGGTACAAGCCAGGAGCACGCAATGTGCCTTTCACTAAGCAAACACAGGCCTTGTTATGATAAACGGGCCCTCCGTGTTTCTCCTGGGCGGGCGGGTCGAGTGATCTTTATAAATTGCACTTCCGTCTCATGTCTGAGTGAGACCTGGAGGGGGAACATTTCCTACAGTGTGTGTGGTTCCTGTTGCCTTTTTTCCTTTTAGCTGATCCTTCCAGCATACAAAACAGCCATTCAAAAGTTGATACTGCTGGATCAAAGGAGCAAACACAATTTAAAAACCCCAACTCCTCCTGCCCCTGGATGGGGCTTCAGTCTCAGATCCGTTATCTGTAGGAGATGTTTCCTGCCCAGCCTCACCAGAGAGGATGCGAGTCTCACCAGAGAATGTTCTCCACAGTCTGGGGAGAAACAAACCTCTTAAATTCATCATTCCTCAGTCTTATCAGATATCTTCCATTGTCTCAAGTGTGATCTTTAAACGAGCAAGGTGAAAGAGCCTTGTCGGTGCAATGGTGAAACTCTAGGCTGCTGCCTGAAAGGCTGGCAGTTCGAGTCCACCAGCCACTGTGAGGGAGAAAAGCCTTGACAATCTGCCAGGAAGGATGACCTCTAGGGGACCCTGTGGGCCAGTGCTGCTCTGTCACATGGGTCCCTGGGGGTCAGAATCGGCTTGGCGGCACTCACCACCACCACCAACTTCATTTTGCAGTTGGTTCTGACTCACAGCTGAGCCTTCAGCACGTTTCCAAGGCTGTAAATGACACAGCCACACACTGTCCACCCTTCTCCATGTATCGGTGAGGTAGGAGCACTAAAAATGCTAGGAAGACTTTCAGAAATCCCTCTTCTAGAACTCTATCAAATGATTCTGGACTTGACTGCAGGGTGGACCGGTGTCATCTTTTGCCAGCCCTGTATGACGCGGACAGAATCTCTGGTGGCATGGTGTTGTGTATTGCACTGCTAACTACTAGGTCAGTGCACAGCTGTACCCTCTCCTGTGATAAGGACATTCAGTCCCGGGCCCCCAACAGAAGGCAGCACGGGGAGGACTCAACCCTACGGCAGTGGGCTAGGCTGGGCTTCCTGAGACCTGGAGGAAGAAGCAGCATTACCAGCTCAGTAGGCAGCCCGCAGACACGAGACCGAGACCCTCACACGGTGCTCAGGGTCCCCGGTCAGGGCAGCCATGCTGCGGGTGGGCCTTCCCTCTGCCTGACACAGAGTGTGGCTCAGGTTCACGTGCAGTCAGTGCTATTTTTAACCCTCATGCTTAGGGAGACGGGCTTTCCCAACACAGTGGCTAATAAAAAATGCATCAGCTCTAATCGGGAAGGATCCTTTCTGAAAAAGCAAAGTCATTCTTCTCTCGCTCTGTGGAGTGAGAACCAGGACGGAGGCAGCTTCCTCCACACCCAGTCCTGCAATGCTACAGCCAGAAACGCCCCTCGTGGGACCCAGGCAGAGGTTTTAATCACGGAAATCTCCATTCAACTGATGGAAGGACAGGGTCATGCGGAGACAGAAGGAAGCTGCCCTCTTCTGTGTCCTGTGGTCTCTCAAGTGGAGTTCCTGGGACTTGGGGACAAAAAGAACACACCCTGGGGCCAGGGGGCTGAGGGGCTGGGAGGACCAAGGTCTCTGCATTGCCACCCTCACACAGACAGGCCTCGCCCTCAGGAGGAAGGGCCAGCCTGCCCACCGAGGGCTCCAATAAATGGTCAAACTGACACAGTGAGCACAGGCCCTTCGAAGTCAGCTTCAGATAGAACTGAAAACAAGCCGAGGAGCCCCGGTGGTGCAGTGGGTAAGCGCTCCACACCGAGGGGTCGGCTCTAGGAAGCCACCAGCAGGTCCACGAGAGAAAGAAGACACCATCTGCTTGCTGCTAATTCTGGCCTAGGAACCCCGTGGGGCTGTCCTGTGCCACAGAGCCACTGTGCGTGGGCACTGCCTAGACAGCTAGACAACATGGACACACACTAAACCCTTACACAAAGTCAGAGTTAAACCAGGGGCCACTGCTGAGTTGCATCTGACACAGAACTGGTCCACAGGGTCCTCAATAGCCAATCTTCCCAAAGGAGGTCACCAAGCCTTTTCTCCGGGGGTTCTCTCGGCAGACTCAAAGACCCCACCTTTCAGTCAGCAGCTAAGTGCTTTAACCTCTGATGTCACCCCAAAACACTCAACACTGAAGCCACTCGCAGTCCTGAGTGGATGCCGACTCACAGTCACCCTACAGGACAGAGACATGTCCTGCCAGGTCCCCAAGCTGAAAACCTTTATGGAAGCTGCATGCTACGTCTTCCTCCCACCAAGAAGCTAGAGGATTCAAACTGCTCACGTTGTGGTAAGTGGCCACTGCTTCACCCCCTCCCCTCCAGGACCCGCAGACACGGGGTGCCCAGTGATAGTTACGTGTGGATGTTTCCAGCTTGCGCTTGTGGGGAGGGTCTTCAATGATCCTATTGAGGTCCCCACGGTTCCTCAGGTCCAGGGGCTTCTCCCAGACAGACAGCTGCATTGTGGGGTTGAAGAAGAAGACTCGGTCATCACCCGTCCAGACCACACACCTGTGTGAACGGAGAGCACAGCTCAGTCGGTGGCTGACATTCAACTAGGAAACGTTCCTGGGAGTGTGAGTAAGCCACACGGGGACTGGAGAACACCGGACTGGAGCGCCCCGGACTGGAGCCCACCGGGTCTGGATCATATCAGGACTGGAGCTTGGGGCCTGCACGGGGCACTGAGGTCAAGCCACATAATGTGAGCACTGCAGCTCTGGGAGCGTTAACCTGCCTGGCACTTCTTCTCATCGGCCTTAGGATAGAACAATGATGGCCACTATTTACGAGTAACAAAACCAAACTCTCAACCTTGTGTGATTAACAGGACAATAACAACAATCACCTCCAACAAAAAAGGAAACTGATGTTCTAGCTGAACAATGTCAGAGCTCACAAGGTCATTCATTAAGTGAAATTCTTGGTTGTTTTCCTGAGCACCAATTGCTTCTATTTTATTTAAATTATCGTTTCAGTTAAAGTTTACAAGCTGGTGGGTGTTCCATTTAAACCATTCAGACATATTTTGTTTTCTACATTCATCTCAACACCCACATGCCATTCTGCTTCTCTCACTTAGTTCCTGAAATTCTCTCCATAAATCCTTCTATCTAATGCCACCAGGGCATCATCCTGGGGCAAATGCTGCTCTCCTGGCCTCATCTGGCTACACAATTAAGGAGTGAGGGCCCCCAGGTTTGCTGTTCACCTTATCGGCCTGCCTACTGTTCGGCTGAGGGAGCTGTGGGGCGAAGCAGGCAGAGGCTGTGGTCCTAACCTGGCTGTGGTTCCTCTCAGGTGGGAGCCGCTCTCAGGGAGAAAGACAGACACTCCTCACTTGTGCAGTTTGCTGCCTCTGAAAACCCACATTAGAAGCAACAGCGACTCGGTTCTGACACCATGGCAGTGAAGTCTAGGGGTTGGTTCTGGCTGGTTTGTTTGTTAACGGAGTATTGAGCCGTAGGGTGAGTTTTCCTCCACATGTGAATGATAATGAGGTGAGGTCACGGCCTGAGCCTCTGCCAATCTCTGTCCAACAGCAAACCTGGCTTTCTCATGTTTGTGAGTTGTGTTCCACATTTCTCCCCACTCTACCCAGCTCTTCTGCTACGATTCCTTTAATGTGGTCAGAGGTGGGAGCCAGCCACTGCCTCGATTTTCTGGTCCTGGAGTTCTGAGGCTGAGGCTACGTGGCACATCCGTCCTTTGGACTAATTGCTCCATTACTTCTCCCTCTTCTTTGTTCCAGACAAGGAGAATCAGCACAGCGAGCACTCCCTAAGTTTAAAGACCCCAATCACTACCCCCCAAAGCAGGATATAGAACAGTGTCTTCACGGACTATGTTGTCAATTGGCTTTGATGTCCTCTAAGACCATGATCTCATGTCCGAGGACCAGCACCTCACTCCCTCAGGGCATTTGGTTATTATTTAGAAGCTTAAAAGCATTACCCCCATTGGCTTTGCTCTATCGTTGTTGTTGTTGTTGTTATGTGCTGCCAAGTTGCCTGAGACTTATGTAACCCTATGCATAATAGCTCTGACCCTGCCCTAGCCGGAGCTAGTCTCATTGTCTCTGACACCCCTAACCCCATTAGCTCAGTTACTGTTGTCAATCTATCTCATCCAGGTTCTTCCCCTCTTGTGCTGTCTGTCCAACTTTCTAAGCACGATGTCCTTCTCCAAGTACTGGTCCCTCCCAGCTACATGCCTGAAGTATGTGAGAAGTATGTGAGATGGAGATTCCAAATCCTCACCTCTAAGGAGAAACTTGATTTCACCCTCTCCAGGATAAACCTGTTTGTTCTCTTTGCAGTCCATGCAATGTTCAATAGTCTTCTTCAGCACCCAAATCAAAGGCATTGATCCTTCCTCTATCATCTTTATTCATTGTCCAGCTCTGTGATGCATACTAAGTAAGTAACTGCATGGCCTGGATCAGGTGCACCTTAATCTCCAGACTGATATCATTGCTCTTTAGTACTGGAGAGGTCCCTTACAAATTTTCCTAATGAAATTCATCTTTTGATTTCCTGACTGCTAGTGCCAAGAGTGTTGATTGTGGAGCCAAGCAAGTTGAAATGTTTAACACTCTCCTTTCTATCTTTCATTGGCCCAGTGGTGAGACTCTCTGTCTTTTTGATGTTGAGCTTCAATCCACATCGAAGACACTGTCTTTGACCTGCAGCAAACCTGTCAGGCTTTCCTCATTTGCATCAAGCAAGGTTGTGTCATCTGCATAGAGAAGATTGCTGATGAATCCTCCCAAATTATCTGTTCCACATATAAATTGAAAGGTATGGAAACAAGACACATCCCTGATATACTTCCTTCTGATTTTGAACCATGCTATGTTTCCTTGCTGTTTTGATGACTGCTTCCTGGTCCAAGTATAGGTTTCACATTCTTCCCAGAGTCAGCCACAGTTTGTTGTGATCCACACAATCAAAAGTCTTTGCATAGCCAATGAAACACAGATAGACATTCCTCTGGTACTGCTTTCTGCCAAGATCCATCTGACATCGGCAATAAAGTCCCTAGTGCCACAGCCTCTTCTAAACCCAGCTTGTAGTTCTGGTAGTTCTCTGTTGATGTACTGTTCCAATAATTTTTTTATAATCTTCAGGAGGATTTTGCTTGCATGTGCTATTATTAGTTATATTAATCTATAATTTCTACACTGTTTTTTAACACATTGCTGCAAATGACGGTAATACGGGGGGGGGGAGGGGGGAGTGTTTCTAAGCACGGTGGTCAATTAAAAGTGTGCAGGAACGTGTTAATCACCTTTCTTGGCATGGGAAAACATATGGATCTCTTCTAGTCAGCTGGCCAGGCAGCTGTCCTCCAGATTGCCTGGCACGACCTGGTGAGCATGTCCAGGGTAGCATCTGGTTTTGAAATATCTCAACTGGTGTTCCATCAATTCCTTCAGAGAAGCTGAACTGCCTCCTTCATCACCATTATCTCTGGATAATATGCTGTTTAGTGAAATTCTTCTTTGTCATCCAGTTCTTTTTGGTAGTGACTCTGTATTATCCTGCCGTGCACGCAGATGTATTTACAGCATATACTAAGATAAACACTGAAGGATCTGTACACATCAGGTGAGGTCCATGTGTATGGCCATCACTTGTGTTCCCTATAAAAAATATTTGCAATGAATAAATCATTGATTGTGCAGAATTCTATCACTCTGTCTCCAGCCTCACTTCTGAGGCCAAGTTCATGTTTTCCAGCTACTCACTCTTCTTTCTCTGTTCCCAATGTTTGCATCCCAGTCACCCATTATTATTAATGCATGCTAGTTGCACGTTTGATCGATTTCTGACCACAAAAGTTCGTACAAGTCTTCTATTTCCTCCTCTTGGTGCATATATTTGAATGATATTTGAATGATAGTGGCATTAATAGGCCTTCCTGGTATGCATATGGGTATCATTCTGCCATCCACACAGATGTATTTACAGCAAACACTAAGATGAACACAGAAATATCTGTACACATAATGGAGACCTTCAAAATACCACTGCTTTTGTTATTCAATCCTTGGGCTCCTGCAAGCACAGAGTATGTCTAAATTAGAATATCATTAAAATTTAGCCAGTTAAAATCCCTGCAGAATAAAGATTAGCAGGATACTGCTAAGATTACAGACTCTGAAACCTGGGGAAGGTGGTTATGGGTCGGACTCTGTCACACGGCAGAGTGCTGAAATCCTAATTCAGATGCACATGCAGTACCTTGCCCAGGGATCAAATTACTCTGAGAGTGGTTTCCAGAACATCTCTCCTGTGTGTGTCTCGGGGGGCATGAGGGGTTCAGCATGAAGAGGGGCTCCACTCGCCCACCGTGGCAGACAGAGGAAATGGACTTCTGGGATCAGCAATGTCAGCTGCCTGCCCCCGTCCATTTTCAGAGGAACAGGGATGGACATTTATGTTTTGTGTTGCCATTCCCACGAAGCTAAAATGACTTGGGAGAATACGGTGTATTTCTTAGTTCCCTATCTGCAGAAGGCCATCAGAGAGGAGAAACAGTGACAGCAGGGAAAAGAGAAACGAGTTTGTGGGCGAGAAGATGATCCCATGAGTCTGAACCACAGGGAAGTCTGAACTCAACCACTTGTCCTTGTGAGCAGGGCTACTCATGAGCACACAAGCCTCTGCCACTGGGTCCCATCCCTGAGCCTGTCTCCCCTGGGGCTCCAGAAGGAAATTACCTCTGCGGACACCTCAGTTTGGGCTCTCGGAGGCTGGTCCTGGAGGTCTCAGCATGGTGAAAGGAAAGCGTGTGAGGTCTCTGAGCTTCAGGTGGACGCACCTATGACTTTCTCAACCTGGGGACACCCTTGTCCCCCATCCTGTTCTAATTTCAGGACCAGTCTCAGAATTCAGGACCACTCAGTCAAGGCTGATCGGGCCTCTCATCTGCCAATTCCACCTGACATATGTGCCAGTTCCAGGCCCCGGAGTCCTCCCTCTGACCTTCCAGTGCCCTGAGACCACTCCCACCTCTCTCTGGACCTCAAGTGTCCCCACAGCAGCCCCTTGCCCGGTGTGGCAGGCCACCACAGGTACCACCATTACCAGACACACACACACAGAGCACACACACACTACGAGCACATACAAGGGGAATTCATCCTGAATTTATGCTGACCCCGGCTGCCACAAGCACACAGATCCCACAAACGTACGAGCACACAGTGTACATATACGTGCACGGAGGCACAGATACACGTAACACAGATGAACACACATGACACTATGTGCAGCCACACAATGACCACCGCACACTTGTGTGTGTGTGTACAGACACACACATGTAACACAGGCACACACATGCACAGACTCTCCACACATCATACCCTGATGCACAATGCACACAAGCACATGTCTCACTGTCATTTATGTGTGTGTACACATGTCCACAAATATAAAACATGCATGTCACCATCACAAATATACATCAGACACTCCAGTGAATCACTCTCTCTCTCACACACA